ATTGTGTCGTGTCTTTTTTGTACAGTTCGCGTCAAAGATCTAACAATAAGAGGTCAATTGTACTCGCAAAGACAGCAATTTCCTGTAGAGTCGAAACTGAATCAAAATTGAAGCTAACGGCAAAGCTAACGCATTTCTCAAATTTCTTTGTAAAGCAAACTTCAATTTATTCTTTCGGGTCTTTCAATTTTCGTTCGTTCAGAGTTTGTTCCAGCTTGTGATTGCGTAGTGGCAAAAAAAAAAAAACACCGCCAGGTATAAATTCCATTGTGTCGTGTCTTTTTTGTACAGTTCGCGTCAAAGATCTAACAATAAGAGGTCAATTGTACTCGCAAAGACAGCAATTTGCAGAATTTCCTGTAGAGTCGAAACTGAATCAAACTTGAAGCTAACGGCAAGGCTAACACGTTAATTAATTTCAATTGTATTATGAATTAATTTTAAATTTATATTTAATAATTATTATATTTATAAATTTAATTATAATTAAAATTTTATGATTTCGAGATATTATTCGTGAAAGAACATTTATAGGATATCATTTTATATTGAAATAATATTAAAATTTAGAATAATTATATTTATTATTTCTGAATTATTTGTTTTTTATTTCATTTTTTTGAACATTTTTTCATAGATTAATTTCTCCATCAATTGAAATTAATATAATATGACCTCCTAAAATAATTAAAGTATTTAATTATATAGAAATTCCTTTATAATACATTTACTTTAATTACTTCAGGATTTAATATTACATTAAGTCATTTATATTTTTTGAATAATTTTTTTATAAAAAGTATAAAAGCATTATTATCTACAATTTTAATAGGTTTATATTTTTCTATTATTCAAATATTTGAATATAAAAATGCTTATTTTTTCTATAAATGATAGAATTTATGGATCAATTTTTTTTTTTATCAACTGGATTTCATGGAGTTCATGTATTAATTGGTACATGTTAATATTAATTATTTCATTAATTCGAATATATAATTTTCATTTTTCGTTAATTCATCAAATTAACTCGCCACAGGGAGTATCTATCTTGAAATAACAAAAAACAGAGAAGAATTCGAGTCATCCGGGAGGCTTGACGCGCGAAATTTAAACCGAACATCAAACGAACTCGAAACTTAAAGTTTCGAAACAATCTTCAACAGTTATCCCAACTCGGCTAATTCGCCTTCGCGAGCTTTCGTCTCTCCCTTCTGGCTTCGTTCTCCGTAAGAATTATTATTCGCCAGAACGAAGTGGTTCTTTACG